GCTAATGGTACATACTTGAAATGGATGGAATTCTTTACATGGGCACTACTTTCTAACTGAACCAACAATCTGATGAATATTTTAATGTTGAAAAATTTTATGGACGAAAACAATAAAAATTTTGTTAATAAAATACATTTTATAAACTTAACTCAAAATAAAATAAAAATTTAACATGAAATTTTTAGAATTTTAGGTTCACAGTAGTTTCCAAATGTTATAAAAGCTATATATTAATTATGGAATTAAATTATGAAACAGAATGTTTTAAACTGTGCGCGCAAGTTGGAAACATGACGAAAAATGTTGTTACAAAGAGGATTAAATTATAAAAAATATTTGTGGCAACACAAACTTCCTGATTACTATTTCAGAAAGCAGCTATATTATGTAATCAGCTGTAAAAATTTGGTAGTAATTGCTTTTAAAATAAATAAGTTATCCCTATTCTTGCAACAGTCACCTATTCGAACATCTTATGGGTTTTAAGGTGTATGAGTCCCCTTAACGAACAAACTGTTAGGCAATGGTTCCAGAAGTTCAGGTCAGGGGACATGTCATTTAGTGACGTACCACGCAGCGGTCGGCCACAAAAGCTGGACGATGAGGTTCTAGAGTAGCCATAGAGAGTGACAGTAGCCAAACATGAGGTGAGCTTGCTGCACACTTCCAGTTATCTGATGAAATGATCAGACTCCATTTTCACCGCATAGGAACGGCATACAAGCTGAGCAAGTGGGTACCCCACTCACTGTCTTATGCAGACACAAGCAACAGCATGTCGCTGCTTCTTTGTCATTGCTTACTCTGCACTGCAATGCATCCATATTTGATCGAAGTACTCACCAGTGATGAAAACGTTGGGTCAAATATGACACACCCAGGTGCTCCCCAGACATTGGTATTATCGTTCCATCATGGGACCCTGCAGCCTCACACTGCAATACCTTATCTCCAGCCACTCAAGATTATGCTCTGTATCCAGTGGACTAGTCGTCAAGTGGTGCACTATGAGCTCCTGCCAGTGGGTCAAACCATCACGGAAGGCCTGTATTCGCATTTGAACGTGTGCATCAGGAACTGATGCATAAAGAGCTAGCATAGGTCCATCGTAAGGGTGTACTCATCCTCCATGACAATGCGAGTCCTCATGTGGCTCTGGAAGTCAGGGATACCATCCAGCGATGGGGCTGGGAGACACTACCCCATCCACCATACTCCCCAGACATGGCGCCAACAGACTACCACCTTTTCATTCCCTGGACAACCATTTTCATGGGAAATTCTTCAACAACCGGTCAAACCTCGAAAATTGCCCTCACGGACTTCTTTGCGTCCAAGACTCCTGAGTTTTACCGCGACGGCATTGCACAGCTAGCCACTCATTGGCAAAAGGCATGGATGCCGATGGTAATTACTTTGAGGATCAGCGGTGATTATTATTTGTTTTATGACTTTTTCTTTCCGACTGTCCAAAACGAAAAGAACATTTTTGGTTACCTTGTATATGCATATATATATATATATATATATAGCTGAACAAGCGCTAATGGATGCAATGTGTAAATTTAGTTAAATATTCTATGATAATGCAAATATTTGCTTATTTAAGATATTTTATCCACAAAAGTATTCAGATTCTTTTGAATGTGAGTTAATTTTCTAGTTATAATGTTATTTTTCATGTACCGATACAGCATTGGATCATCTAAGAATGTTATCAGCTTTCATTGCCCATTCAGGTAAAATTCAGTATGTGATTAAAAAAACAGTAAAAGGTACAAGCTTTAAGAAGTATGGGTATGATTAAGGCACTAATAATTTGAACATTTACAAATATAATTCATAACTACATGCAATAATGAATGAGTACTTAACGTTTCACAAACACTGAGAAATTTAAAGCAATGATGGTGTATCTTTATCTAATGTCTTTTATGTACCAGTTGATAAAATGTTTACCGACTTCATTTCTCAATCAAAACATGGAATTTAATACATTCATTAACATGTTGTTTAAGATAAGCTTATGTATGAACGTAATTAATACTTATTTCTTTTCCCTTTTTTTTTAACAAGCATAATTTCTCATTTTGTACAAATAATTTTCTGACCACAAAACTAAAGCAATTAGTTTTGCAGCAAGAAATGTGAATAAATATTCATATTAACATCGTCTAATTAATTATTACTGCACATTAAAACTATGGACAAAGTATAAAACTCGGTACTTTTAAGGGGACTCATACACCTTAAAACCCATAAGATGTTCGAATAGGTGACTGTTGCAAGAATTGGGATAACTTATTTATTTTAAAAGCAATTACTACCAACTTTCTACAGCTAACTACATAATATAGCTGCTTTCTGAAATAGTCATCAGAAAGTTTGTGTTGCCACAAATATTTTTATAATTTAATCCGCTTTGTGACAACATTTTTCGTCATGTTTCCAACTTGCGCGAAAGGTTTAAAACATTATGTTTCATAATTTAATTCCCTATTTAATATATAGCTTTTATAACATTTGAAAACTACTGTGAACCTAAAATTCTAAAAATTTCATGTTAAATTTTTATTTATTTTGAGTTGAGTTTATAAAATGTATTTTATTAAAAAAAATTTGTAATGTTTTCGTCCATAAAATTTTTCAATATTAAAATATTCATCAGATTGTTGGTTCGTTAGAAAATAGTGCCTATATAAAGAATTCCATCCAATTTCAAGTATGTACCATTAGCCATTTTTAAAATATCATGCGCGCAAGGTGGAAACATGGCGAAATATTTTGTCACAAAGAGGATTAAATTTCAAAAATATTTGTGGCAACACAAACTTTCTGGTTACTAGTTTCCAAAGCAGGTATATTATGTAAACAGCTGTAAAAAGTTGGAAGTAATTGTTTTTAAAATCAATAAAATATCCCAATTCTTGCAACAGTCACACATTCGAAGATCATGAGGAGTTTAACGTGTATGAGCCCCCTTAAAACAGTTTTAAAAGATATAACATTAACAGCAGCGAGTTACCACTAGGTTTAAACTATTAAATGACTAAACAAATCTAAATCCATTACTAAAGAATGTAACTTTGGAGTATCTTAATTAAATTTCAGGTTTGTTTTATCCAGCTTCAGTTACCCCTTGCTCACAGATATGAGGAGTGATAGCATGGTATGATGTCGAAGAGTTACCCAACAGTTTCCACGACAGTAAAGCTTAATAACTATCCCTCTGCATGGACTAATAATATTTGCTGCTTACCCATTACTTTTATCTCCTCTCGACCTCGCTGCTTTTATACGGCTATAAGCTCCTTTTATGCCTTTAATAGAACAAAATTCCCTTGTTAATTCCAAGTACTTCTCCTTTTCATGTTCATAAATCTTCTTGCCTTATTCCTTAACTTACCTTAAAGCTTAAGGTAACCCATGCAATGCACTTCATTACGGTCAAATGATTCCATTACGTCATTCCGTATTGCAAAAATATGCATTTATTTCCAATAGATTATATGGATATCCAATAGATATACTTGAATTTCCTCCAATTAACAGGAGATTTTATTTAATTTTTGATCAAAAGCTTTTCTACTGAAATAACGCAGATGATTATGCATTTATCACACTTATCAATTCTATTATTTAAGCACTCAGCATAATTAAGCGAAATGCGCAAATTTTCGCGTACATATGTGCAGAATGACTGCTCACATGACGACTATGTGCAAACTCACATTTTCGCGTACATATGTGCAAAAGCTACACTTAAGCGTGTGTAGATAGTTTTATAATTTTTACGTTTAACTGTCATTTTGTTGAGTATTAATTCTCCCTTTGAATTCAATTAATTATAATGAATCAGAATGGGACTGTGGTGTTTGGCAATTAATAAAAAAGAAAATATCACATTGGCCACTTTCATGAGAAACGTTTGTTTCGGTAACTTTATAACTCACGTGTTATAAATTTTCCGCCTATACACTTCATTTTAATTTATACTGCTTTATAAAATATATTGAACGAAATGTTATGCTCGTATAACATTATTAATTTACATTTTACAGCATAAAATAATCTATTAATCTAAGGGGATTTTGCATCGGTTCACTATAACTGGTGTATCACTTTTCAAATTGTAGCCACAAATTGCATGTATGTATGTATGATCCTTCCACTGTGAGATAACGATGGTGCAACCAAATTCCGAATAACGTAGTCCTCCACATAAACATGGACAGCTGCAAATCAGAATTTTGAATTTCGAATTGTTTTATTATCATTTCATGTTTCTAAAAACTTTAATGACCTTTTTATTCACAAATTGCTCGATTTGAAAGTGAGCAATATCAAAACTGTTAAAACAATTTTATCTCTAGGGCATAAGACTTTTGTCATTTTGAAAAATGCAATGCAATCTTTCAGTTTTGATTAACAACCTCTATGATGGCAATGTCTTTCCGCTGCCGGAAAAAAATACTTTTATCTTCTCCGCGCCAGCGTGTTGCCGTTCAGTAAGTCTAAGATACTTTCAGATTTAATCTGGAAGTTTATGGAGAAATAAACTAAGCGACTTAAGGACACTAAACATAGTACTTAATATTTTTTTTCTATTTTTTTTAGTACGATTACTTTAAATAAAACCGTATTTAAATCATGAGATGTGTAATTAGAAATTCAATACTTTTGTGAAATTAGACTAAAAAATAATTACATATTTTACTTTTTCACGAAGTACCTTATATTTAATAAAATTTAAATGTTAATATTCAAAATACCAAAAAAAAATTATCAATCTTTATAACAAAAGGTTAGCGGTACCGTAGCGTCCGGATGCGGATCCCGGTGAAGACATGGATGATTGTAAATGTAGAGTGCCTGTGCAGCATGGGGATCCGGCCTCCCGGAATGCTCTAGTTCAGAATTGGGGGCAGAAATGAACAAAGTCGTATTGGTACCTGTATGCTGCCTTAAGTTCCTGTCAACGACAGGAGCACACTTACCTGCTTGCCACGATGAATTTCGTCGGCTTGCTCTGATATCAAAGAACTGATCTGATGTTACTGTTGATCGGGTGAGATAAGCTAGAACAACAAACAGATGTGAAAATTTTTTTTGCAAAAATTCTTGACTGAAATATGGGATCGGAGCTGGAAATGAATTTCTCACGATTTCTGAAATGACATTAAATGCTCTTTAAGGATTCAAGCATCACATACTTATGTGAAAAACTTTCCAGTATCTACGCTTATTAAATTCAAGTATCGTTCCAGTGCTGATAAACGTTGAATGTGTCAAATATTGCACCAAGATTTAATTCGTTACACAGCAAAAAGTAAGTCTACTTCTTTTAAAAAAACATGATTTTCTTTCATTACTTTTTGAATACTTGAAACAAATTCTGGTGTTACTTCTTATTACATGTATACGGTTTATCAAAGTTGCTTATGGGAAAATATTTATTTTTATATCTTTATTCTATATTTAATATCCGTGGTCACGGAACAGTCTCGATGATAACAAGAGGTCACTAAAGAAGAAAGTTTACAGTGAGTTGCTTTAACATATTTAATTTATTTAAGTTCTAATTTTAAGAGCTGGCTATAACTTGGTTTGCATTTCCTCGATGTATTCTGTCGTTTCTCAGTTCGACTTATTTGCATTCATAAAATAACCCAAAGATTTTCATAATATCAGGTCGAATAACTCAGAAAATGTTTCTGCAAAATGTCTGTAATGATTTACAAACTGTTTGTAAACACAGGTAAACTTTTGAAAATTTGCCTGTTTTTACAAATTACCAGAATTTATTTCTCAAATAAGAAATTTCTGTTAGGTTACGTGCGTTACACAGGGATACCCTGGTGCTACATCATTCTAGTGTAATTCATAGCTCTTTTTGAAACCACTGCTGCCGTCTTTACTACCTTGTACGATGTAAATGAAGTTTTGTAAACACGAAAAATTCCGGGTATCAGATTTCAACGAAAATATCCATTTTGACCGCTATCGAATGCAATTTAACGATGTTTTTGTATGACATCTGTAAGTAAGAGCAGAATAAAGGACACTTTTGCAAGAACGAATAATAGAATTAATTTAATATGTATTCAGAAGAGATTTCTTCGTAGCGTCTGTACGCACGTATGTATGCTTCTCGCATAACTCAAAAACGAGTAGCATGAGAACGTTCAAAAGTTGTATATAGGACTGCTATAATATGAAGTTGTGCACCTCCTGTTTTGGTTGCAATCGGCCGCACGAAACGTAGATTAATATAACTATACATATATATATATATATGCGTACTCTGTTACCCTGCTCAGTGAGCTCAGTTTTTTTAATTTGTATATTCTGGTAAATTATGCATTTTTTGCTTTAAAAATGATTGAATTATGTGCTTCTTATCTTTCGGTTAAGGTTTTTATGCCTTTAATTAACCTATATGTTATAGTTGTAGTGTTATCAACAATTTAAGAGTTGTTTAAGTGCGGCTAGGCCTAATTTTTACCATAGCAGCCATACTTGCTTAAATTTGAAACTTAGCAGAATAGTGGATTTGTGGCCAATCTAGAAAAACTAAGCTTCGCAGCAACAAAGATAACGTCTTCTTTTATTACTGCGAATTAAATCATGCTTAATCCATTCTGGAATTATCATTTAATTTATTAACTAATCCCATATATTGACTCAACATAGCGACTCATTTAATTTATTAAATTATCCCATATATTGACTCAACATAGCGACTCATTTAATTTATTAAATTATCCCATATATTGACTCAACATAGCGTCCACAACAAATTAAGTCAGTTTCAACGCCTTCGGTGTTTTTTGCCGAGTGGGACCAATAATTTTTAATTGTAATTTTTTTTAAATTGTTTTAACTGTATTTTTGGTAATTTATATTTTTCTATATCTTTCAATATTTAATGAAGATATTTTCAGATTTGTATGTAATTTTTCCTTGCCGCCGAGTGAGAACTGAAGTAATTGAATGATAAATATATCGTTCACAAAATTCGAGGGAATAAGTGTTTCTTATTAGCAGCAAATATTGTCGCCAGTTTGACTAGGACAGAGGAGAATGTTTACGAATAGCGCATGCTCATTAGGCAAGCGGCGCTGAATCGTCTGTGAAAAATTGTTTCTTCTTCATTTGTCTAATTTCTTTTATACATCGTTTTAGATTTATTATAGTATAAGAATTGAATTGATCACGTGGCAAAGATTAGAGATTATTCTTTAGATGATATAATTTTTTAGCATTCTGAGTTAACACCAAAATTCCAAGTTCCAAGATAACACCAAAAATTGGGAGATTTATCAACGAACAGTCAAGCTAAATGCAGCATTAATGCTGTAAAAATTGCAGAGTATTTAAAAAAAAGCAGTTTGCAATAAAATTTAACCCTGAAATTTCTAAAATAGCAAAAGGATGCAATAAGCAATCAGCATGAAAGAAAGTCTTCATCATCAAGAGAAGAAGGAAATTATGCCTAGCAATCTCAGTCTTCACTGTAAGCAAATATTTATCATATTAGGACAATATTATCTTTGGAAGCTATTCAAAATTTAATATATTTTGGCACCGACGGACGAATTATTTTGAGCAACACCCGAAAGAGTGCTTAAATACGAAGATTCTTCTGCCAGTTTTTAAGCACAGATCTAGAGATTTAATGGTATGGAGAAATTTTCTTCTTGTGGGTTGGGATATTTTGCTTTTATAGAAACTAATATAGATCAGCACAAATTTCTAAATATTCTGTAAGATAATCGGAAAACAACTGCAAGAAATCATGAAATCTAAAATGCATTCAAGTTCTATCAGAATAACGATCATAAACATGGAGCCCTAAACGTTCGCTCGCGATTATTATGTGACTGCCCTAAAGTAATCAAAATGCTTCCATATTCAAGAGACGCAAATCCTATCGAATATGCATAAAATGAGTTGAAAAAAAGAACAAGGAAACATGATACTTCTTCAAAATCTCTTCTAAAAGCAATTCTTACGTAGTAATGGAACATTCTGACACGAAAAAGTTAGTTGAATCCAAGCCAAAGATCATGAAAAGTAATTTTAGTTAAAAGATATCCAACGAAATACTGAATGCTCCTTTATTTCATGTTTTTATTGAATATAAACTGTTTATTCAAAAGTGTCCGAATACTTAACGATAGTTCATTTTCAGACTTTTGCAAATAAAACTGTAAAACACAAGTGTCTGAAAACAAATGTGAGCTACTTAATTAGAAGTTTAGATGTATTTATAGCAGTTTCATTTCGAGAATAAATTCATTTTGTTATGTAAATTAAATCAGCGTTTGAAACAAAAGCATACTTCAAAACTGGAGAAAAAAAATTTACTTATATTATTCTTGTTTTCTCGGTTGGAGTCAGTGCGAACAAATGATTAAAGACAGTACACATTTTATTTTTAATGTATTATTTAACAGCATTTATGTATTCCAGATCATATACGATTAAATAACATACCGTTGTGGCTATTTTTTATTGGATGTCATCATCTGCTCTTTTTTTACCCATTTTCTTGTCTTTTTTTACAAGAAATTTTACTTTATTTTAAAGTTTTGCAACAGACATTTTCCCATTGTTCTTCCAGAATAAACAATTTCAGTTTTTCTTTAAACGAGGCTCAATTAATTTTCCTTCTGTAAATCGGGAGTTCTATGTATTTTTTTCTTACAATTTAGAAGAAAATTAACAACGGATTTAAATATTTAAAAAAAAACATCATTTATCTCACAATTTATTTTATTATTTACAATTTGCATTACAAAATACGCATTTAATATTTTTAAACATTATTTGAAATAATTAGTGGGAAAGCGTGGTTGTCAACTAACGGTACATATTTGTGTCATCGGTATATAGGGAATCTTGTGTTGATTAACAATTTATTATGATTTCAGGCATTACTATAACTTTCCCTTTCTGTATTCCTCAGCAGAATTTAAATTAGTAGTGTGTATTTAAGCTGAGATTTTTGGATTTTGAAACAAAGAGTGTTTCTAGCATCGCCTGCGCGGTATGTGGTTAATTTTGCTTAGCTCTAAAAGTTTTAACAATTCGCTTTTGAGGTCTCTCCCAGCTCCCAGCTTAAAGCTGATGCGCCAGTAAAGTTACCCAGCTTTTAGTTGTGTATTTGCTTGTATAGTCCCTGACTATTGTTGATTGCTTAATTTAAGTCTGATTGCATTATTTATTTGCATCACTACGGAGTCAGGGGGGTTTATAGTAGCACAAGAGGACTATTTTGGAACAGTCAGAGACGTACTTTTTACTTTACTCGTTTGCAGAGTTACAGAAGTTCACTACTCCAACCGCGTCTGAGTTTTTACGAATCTGTAAATTATTATTGGGTGAATTAAGCAGTATGAGTTACAAGCCTGGAGTGCTTAAAATCTCCTTTGTAAAAGCATTCTCTGTGGTGAAAGACAGGGCAAGTTTAGAAGCGGAATTGTTAGGTAGATATCAAACTAAGGTTGAAGAGTTTACTAAGCTATTGTTGAGGAAAATATAAGTTACAAATGTATTGTATGGAAAAAAACTCGATGGGGAGGTTATCCAACTAATATTTCTTAGAATATTGTCTCAAATTTAGGATTTTGTTGAATGTAGGCTAGTGCGGTTATTCGAGCTATCGGTGAAGTTCGAAAGTAAGCGAGTGGCAATGGATACAAGCACAGCGGGATATGGACAGAGGTCAAGCAGGTATTTTCATGGATCTGTAACGGAAGGAAATCCAAATTTTGATAACAGCAAACATGTTCATAGCCAGAAAATACTTTTATCCGCTAATAGAGATCACCAAAGTAAATCGCAAGAGAGGAAACTAGAGGAACATAGCAAGCCTTTGAACTAGTCAGGGGTATTGAAATATAGAGAGTACAGTCTTCCCTGAGAGAAGAAAATCCCTCTGAGCTTCAAATATACGATATTGTTAAAACATGTATCCCTCCCAGTGATTCGCGTGTGGGTATACGTGTGTGTTATTCATCTGGAACAATGATATTGCATTTTGCTAAGCCTCGTTAAAGTTTATTGCCATGGT